AAAAAATGCATCACTTAATTAACATACAAAAATAATTTAAGTTTATTGACTTTTGACGATTTACTTTTTCACATTCTTTGTTTAAGTACTTGCATATATATATCAAATTGTATGCATACTATTTTGATTGCGTTCAATTTGTCTATTAATATCAGGACGGGTTCCTATTTTAATTTCAAAGCATAGTTCCGAGCTGTCTGCGTTCGTATCCGGAGACAGTTCATTGAACTATACAATGGATAATTATGCGTTTAGAATGCGATTTATATAAAACTGGTCAATTTTTGTTAACTACTAGCTTTTGTTTGAAACGTCACCTGCGTAAAATTTAAAAAAATAATAGAAATATTTAGCCTGTGGCACTCACTAATAACGTGGCTTTTTAACTGTGAAATAATTTTTGAAATCGAATCCGTAGTTTTTAAGGTAATATAATACATACAAAAATACAAATCTTTCCTCTTTAAAGTATAGACAAGTAAACAAGAAGCGTATTGTATTTTATATTATAGTAGAATTTTATAGTAGAAAAAATGTTCCATTCACTTATTTAAAAAGTCATGTCATCTGATCTGTCCCTGAAATCAACATGTTTGGACTGCTGCCAATTTTAAATGAATATCAATATTCCAATGTGACAGTCGATGTTATAAAATGCTACGTCATCGCTTAATAATTCAGTCGATCGTATTAATTACTGGTACTTGACATTACGACGGTTTTTCGAATGAAAATGAATCATTCAATGAATATTCGCCAATTAAGATTCTTTAAGACAGTTAGTTAAGTACTAAAGGTTTAGAAAGGTCAAAACATATAATCAGAAATGAAGAATTGTAAAAAAAAATTGCCACAACAAAATACTGTTTAATTCACAATAGTGAATGACAACTCGTAAAGTAACAAATGGACTGAACGAAAAACTAAAAATGTTCATGTAACACGAGTATCGCGTTGTTCGATTAAACATCAATGAATTAATAAACTATAATAACAAAGATTAAAAATATACCATATCAAGTACATATTTGATCAGTTATCCTGTCTCGTTATTTAATAATGCGACGCTAATGCATCATACAGAGATTGCCACTCAAACAATGACTGACGTCCGGAAACACAATTAACTATGTACCTATCCCAAAGAGGAAATATCAATTCGCCTGCGGAGGGGAATCGAGCGATCCGTCCATTTCGGACGTTCGGACTGGCCCACTCAATTATGCTCATACTGAATGTATGACTCTGATATTTTAAGCTTCGATATCAGACAGCGTTTATTATTTCACGTGCTGAATTTTTAAACAAAGGACATTTCGTTTCATTTTTAAAAATGACGTGTTTTATTTTTTTTATAAATCGCCAGTTATAAAATATTCGTTGATTTAAAAGTTATTTTCGGCAGTTTTAAAATTCAGATTTCACGTTCACATTTCTTTGTTAAGAATTCTGGGAAGTATTAAAAACGCCCTTCATCTTACAATCAGACAAAAGTAATTGTCAAACAGAGAAACGAGTTATTAGTACTGACGTTTCTCATTCTTCTTAGAAGACCACCCACTGCTTTCTGGCGATTAGCTCCGGCGCTTTTTGATATGAACACTAAAAGTGAAAACAATTTTTCACAGTGCATTTCAGTACTAATAATACACATCCCTAATACTGGTTATAAATAACATGAAACTGAATTTTAATCCATCTAAGAAATGCAAGGAAGAGCTATTTAAATAATAATATAATTAATTAAAAATATTTTACGACACCGCTCCAATCTATACTTATAATATAAAGAGGAAAGGTTTGAATTTTTGGATATTTGTATGTATTGGATTAACGTAAAAACTACTGGGCCGATTTTAAAAATTCCTTCATCTTTAGAAAGGTAATTTATCTGTAAGTAACATAGGCCATATTTTTAATTTCACGCAGACAGTACTCGAGCAATAGCTATCTCGAATATAAAAAACTAGTTATTATTAAAAATTCTTCGATTACTTTAATTGAGATAAACCAATTTTATAGAGCAGGAAACGAATAAAAATATTACTCAATCTTACAAAAGCATTTCGACAATACGACTCGAGCAATTCATTCCGAATTTTCGGGACGCAATACTGCGACTTGCTCTATTGTATTTCTGGCTCAATCAAGTCAGATGGAATCCGAGGCGTATGCGTTTTATTTCACTTCTCATTCCAATGACGCTCCATCGACATGTTAAAATAGAAGTGAGCAACTAGGCATCAGCTTTTTTTTCTTTAATTTGGGAAAGATAAATTTGAATCGTAATTTTATATGCAAAGCGGTACCTACTCTTATACGACCAAGCCCAAAGTACTTATATTTCGTTGCATCACCTATCACAACCTAGTTTTATAAGCATGCTACTCCTAGACCCAAATCCTAACAAATTTAGAATACCATAAGATACTCTGTGCCAAAAATGAAATTCTATATTGCTTCCAAAGCGAAATGCTTTTAAAACAATTTGCTAAATGAAATCCACACCAAAGCTTCACGCAAGAGATCCGTTGATGATATCACTAATGACAAATGCGCTTTCTAATCTCAAAAACGCACACTCTTGATAAAATTAAAAAGAGTATCGCGTTCCCATTTGAGTTATGTGTCGTCACATTAAGCAAGCCGGCAAAAAGTCCCGCGAGATCAAAGTGTGTCGCGACACGTCAAGACTAAAATAACTGAATGCACTTGTCAGCTCAAAGCTCAGACTGTAGGCAAAACTAAACCCTAATACGTGCGTATTCACATGCTATGCATCCAATGCTTTTCATGTATGTGATACTAAAATCAGTCATCAAACAAAACTTGCCTTGGATGGTATTTTACTAAAGAAAACGTAACCACATTCGCTATTTAGACGAACACGTTATAGTTTGTACAAAAATGCGTATGTCCCCTCAAAGAAAGAGAACATTTTAAAGCATGAATATAATTCTTCGTTTTATTTATGCCTCTATTAAACCGTAACCATTCAAAGCTGTAGATGGATTAAAGGGAGGAAACAGACATTAAAAAAGAAAGAGCGTTAATCTTAGTGCTTTAACATGATTTCTCCATTATGACTTAACGAAATAATATCGTTTCAAACCAAACATTTATATTTAGTAGTATATTTTGATTAGGTACCTATTAGACTTTATGGTTATATTTTGAACTCACTTTTAACTGAATTCATTAAAAAATTTAAGTGTCCCAAAAATATTAATAAAACAGATCAACATTGCACTGAGTTCTTGTTATTTTTGTAATTGACAAATATGAATACTATACATTTATTATAAATATATTTTCCATTGAACAAACGTCGCCAAACATATTTCCTTAATAACGTTAATAGCGAGACTACTCATTTTTATTTGTTAATAAAACAGCTTTTTCCGGAATTGATTTTTCCCGTCTCTCGTCTGGATGAACGTTCCGACGTCGGAACAAAAGAATTCCCTCCACTTTCAATAATCGACGCGAACATCCGGTACTCGGAGTTGGAATTTTCCTTTAAACAAATGAAAACCAACGAAATCATGTCAAAATTAAATATTTTGCTAAACGTCTTGACTACAAACTGTTCTAAAATTAAACAATATGGATTTGATTTTCATCTAACGTTAAAAGAAAATTTACATCTTACTAATATTATAAATGTGAAAGTTTAGATGGATGGAAGGATGGATGGATGGATGGATGTTTGTTAGAGTTTGTAGCCTAAATGGCTGAACGGATCTCGATGAAATTTGGCATAGATGTAGAGTGTGGTCTGGAAGAACACATAAGCTACTTAATTTTTTCTTAATTCCACGTGAACGGAGGCGCGGTCGCAAGCTGGTTATTACTAAAGAGAAATATAATTTGAACAATAAATAGATTTCTAGAAAAAAAAATCATCCTATTGTAGTTTACAAATATTAACAAATACAATTCTCGTAAATAAGGACTGCATGCATAAAACAATAATTCTCACGATCTACAACTCTTTCGTTTTCTGTAACGCTACAGTAACACCTCAATTACACAATATATCATGGTATTGGTGCACCAGACACTGATATTATCTACATAGACGGAATCTCCCGGTAGCCGGTCTGTCCGTCTGTCGCCTTGGGCGGGCTATTACTCATGCTCTAAACTACGCGCCCACTACATCTATCCCGTAGATACAACTTGTAATTATTTTAAACGCACTCTGAGAAAATCTTACTGATACTCAATCTTCTTGACTTTGTTACTTATTTAACGGTCCTATTCGGATTAAGTAACTAAAGATTTTATCGTCATTCTGTGGTGGACATTCAAGTAAAAGGAACGGCGACAAAAAATTATATATTGGTTAAACGTCTACAATCGGTTCGCTATTTCGCTATTCACGTAAATTGTTAGATCAGACTATCCTAAATACTTGAGAGCAAACTTTATTCGAAAAGTTTGTATGATGACACTAGTTCCCATGCGACTTCATCCGCATGAAATTCTGAAAATGTTATTTTATTGTTTACAATTGTCAAATTATCAGTTGCAAATGTCAAAATGACATGACATGATGACAAACCATTGTAATCTTGCAGCTTGGAGCTTATGGTCTCTTTACCACATAAGGGTTTTTATCCTATTCATTTACCTCCTAAGTTTAATGTATAGCCTAATACGTGATGTAAGTGTAGGGCTTTTTATTAAAGAAGGAATAAAAATATGCTGTGATTGCTGACATCCTACGCCACTAAGTAGTGCATGTTTACGCTTTATTATATTAGATAATATAAATGCTAAGTAATTAATCTAACGATATACCAATTATCACACCAGAATCTTGTAAACAATGGTCAATCCTGTACCACAATATTGGCAAGTGCGCTGACCGCTAAATCTCGTTCGTAAACAAATATATTACACAATTAATGAATCAACGCAGCATTGAAGTGGCAAGGTCGAACTATGTTTAGCATAACATAACGTTTTCCTTTACCGTCTCAGTGTGTAACGAATACTCGTTTCAATCCCACACATAACCTAAAATGTTCTAGAAATCATAATAAAATGAGATTTTTAAACTATGTTTTGTTATTATCTGTTTTATTTGTGAGTTTATTTGAAGCTAAAGACCTTGTGGTAGGTACGAGAGTGAATAATTTGTTGATATCTACGGAGAAAGTTGTTTATCGCGCAATACCGCTTGTGAAGAGGGACAAGGATTACACATTCATTGATCCGAAGCATAGGATTATAAAGGTAAGTGCGTTATACAATTTACATAACTTATCGAATTTAATAGATTATCTTGCTTGAGATTGCTTTACAAATACCTTAATAAATGAGTCATAATCAAGACTTTACTCATGACAAGAGATATTTTTAATGTTTGAAGCACATTACCTTGCATAAACGTAATTTTAAACTTTAACTAAAATTTAATATTTATCACATTAAACATTGTTTGAAACGAGGCTTAGTATGATTTTGTTTGAGTTAATTAATTTGAATTTTTACATGAATCGAGGTATATTTTAGTATGCGTGTCACTATTTATTGATTTATGGGATTATAATATGACAAGAGTATAAGTGTAGAGTAATTTATTCCACAATGTTTACATAGCTCGAGTTCCAATTGGCACCTTACCTATATTGAATGAAAGTGTGCCTGCCAAATTGAATTAAATAATTGAACATAATATTAGTGTTAAATTTTATTAAACTTGTTGAATACACCATCTAGGTATATAGCCAACTCTAGATTCATTTTCATTGCTACACACATAAAAATTAAACTTTTAAAGTCAGTGTTCAGAGTTTTCTTTCCCCATCACGTAACGTTCCCTTCTATAGTAACGAAATAACGTCACGCATTCTTCAGTTTTAATGCATAGCTTAGTAAAGTTTTATTTCAGATACTATACCAATTTTTTAACCTTTTAATACTTACTAACTGTTACTTGCGATTTCGTCCGCGTGAAGTTAAAAAATAGCCTATGTTTCGCACTGATAATGCAGCTTTTTAATGATGTAAGAATTTTTAAAATAGGCCAAGTGGTTTTTGTGTTATATCAGAACATACAAAAATACAAATCTTGCCTTTTTAGTACAAATATAGACATAAATTTACGTTTCTTGCAGGGTATAATAGCTCGCGATCTGTCTCGCACAGACGCGCGTGCGTCAATAACCGAAGGAGGTTTGGGAGCCACCAATGTCACTATACACTTCCAGAGCGAACGCGGAGAAGGTCTCAACTATTTAGTGCTTATATTCACTAAGAATACTTGAGATTACTAACATATGATGTCGACTGAAATGAAATTTGGAATAACAAAACTGTTTTAAATTAAATTTTATATGATGACATTTTTATATTTACTTGTAATAAAATATTAAATGAAATAAATGTATTTTATTATTCCTATCTAAATACAATCAGACTTGATAAATTAAAAAAAAAACATACAGACGAATTGAGTACCTCCTTCTTTTGGGAAGTCAGACAATAATAATCTTTATATTCAATATACAAGCAAGCATTTGTATTGATCCTAACAGATCCCTTGCAACATTAAATCAAAAGTTTAGTTACTTTATTTGTGTTTACGAACATTAATTAACTCAGTACGAGTATACGAAGTGTCATTAATATGAAATCTGAAACTGTCACTTAAGTAAGTGTGAACTTTACAAACACGTGTACCATACAGATAAATAAAAGTTAACTTCATACAGTCTCGTAATTAAATGAGGATAAATAGGTTACATTAACAACGCTATTACGTTCTACATCTGCAAACACTTTAACTTGTATAGTTTCATTTTGTTCTTTTAGTTTTTAGTATAACAAGGATCATAGTGATGACAGTTTAAAAACGTTCACAAGTTCTGTTCATTTAACTCTGAACTCCTTATACTAAGTATCTGAACGAAAGATAAAGAGTCGAAGACCGGCATGAAACATATTTATTTCATAAACGTATAAGAAAGAAAAAAGTCTACACATTGGCTATCTTTTATCATTAATTAGCATTCTCTAAGAAATTGAGCTTAGTTTATTGAAATACTAGCTTTTGCCCGCGACTCCGTTTACGTGGAATTTAAAAAAAAGGAGCATATGTGTTCTTCCAAACTATGTTCTACATCCATGTCAAATTTCATCCAGATTCGTTCGGCCGTTTAGGCTACAAACTTCAATCAATTCATCTAAACTCTCGCATTTATAATATACTAGCTTTTGCCCGCTTTTACTCCGTCCGTGTGGAATAAAAAAAAACAAAAGTGAATAGTATATGTGTTCTCTCAGATTATCCTCTACATCTATGCCAAATTTCATTAATCCGTCCAACCATTTAGGCTACAAACTGTAACCAACATCCATCCAGCTAAACTTTCTCATTTAGAATATTATTATATTGAGAAGTATGATAAAGCCTTCTATTACCACGTGGTTTAATTGATTTTTAATCACTTTAAATTTACTGTGTTATTTGACAAAATCAAAACTTTATCAAACTTCGTGTAATCAACTTCAATAGTTGAACATCGCAGTAACACTGTGTATCTTTTTGATCTCAACAAATTAAGAATCCCTCGGACGTGCTGTTTGGCACTGGCAACGAACCCTCAGTGCAAACATACAAATCAATTTTAGCGAATTGTCAGTGTGGACAGAGGGAATGGTGGGTTAGGTTGGGCTAATGGAGACACACGCATTAAACTGCGCCTCGTGCTGCGACAACATTGACACAGTCCAGGGGGCCTAATTAGTTTAAGCCAGACCAGGGCGCCCCGGAGTTGGAAACAAAGATTTAGAATGTGATTCTAACTAGATGAGGCTTAGCGGTAATATTAATAAATTGAATTTAAATTGTTGCAATCCATTAAAACTACTTTATCAGTATTTCAGTTATGGTGTTGTTTTAATTATAGCTTAATTAAATTTTAAATAATTGCTTATTTCATATTTATGGATACAGTAAAACGTTTAGGGAGATATTGCTAAGGAGATATGTCTTGTTGGAAATCTAAATCATCGAACGTGATGAAATTTAAAAATAGAAATGTTCAATAAAACATACAAATTATTTAAAATGTTTATATTATCATCTAAATTATCAGAAAGACATGATATTCGATCAATTTTAAACATTTAATTTTTAATACTAAAAGGTCTTCCAGTAACAATATATCCGTGTAAAGTCCAGTGGGGCGCCACTCGGCTATTACATTTTACTCGAGGATCAAAAAGCATGCGCTTATTACAATTTCATCGAATTACTTAAATGTACTTACCTGCCTAATTTAATTTGTCTACTTTGGAGGTTGTCCTTCATTACAGTAACAGCGACATCTGTTGGTGACACATTCTATAAAAAGAATATTTTGTGGTCATTGCACTTTCAGTCATTAAAGGACCCCCTTATTGTATTACACAAATTAAATCTATCCTAAGGAAGACTTTACATCTCTGAGTGCTACATTTAATTTGATTTAACGTCCAATTTCCAGCTAACCAATCTAATCTTCTTAACTTTAAAATATTACTTAGACATAGGTTTTTATAAAATACTAGCTTTCGCGCGCGACTCCGTTCGTGTGGAATTAAAAGTAAAACTAAGTAGCCTATGTGTTCTTCCAGACCATACTCTACGTCGATGGCAAATTATATAAAGATCCGTTAAGCCGTTTAGGCTACAAACTCTAACAAACATCCATCCATCCATCTAAACTTTCGAATTTATAATATCAGTAAGATAAGATGGGAATTCACATAAGCTTTTGAAGAACTTATATGTACATGTAAAGAGTAATAAAATCACAAAATGTAACGTAAAACAAACCGCAAATAAAGCGGATTATTAAAAACTAAAATTTGTATTTTTATTCATGGGATAACGTATAAACCGCAGCAAAGCCTGGAAAATATTAACGTGGAAAAAGAATTTTCGGACGTAATGCAACCACTTCAACGGCACAGGCGAGCGAATAAATAAAACATGGACACAAGTCGGTAATGCACATTCGGCGTTAAGCCTCCTACATACTGCCGGATAATACGATGAAAAAAATTTAACAGTCGTAATAAACAGTTAAAATACAAAATAATCGAATTATTAAAATACGTTTACATTGAAAAGTCCCAAAAATCACTACTATCATATTTAAGCAATTTATACTTAGGACTTTTACTTACAGTAAAACTATATTAGTTAACCTTCACTCGTATTTATTTTTGCGTCCTACTATAATTTAAATCATAATCTCCGGATACTTGTTTTGAGTTTTTCTCACATATTTTAAAGTCGCACGTGTATAGAAAGCCTAAATGAATCCCCACAACTAACGTTTTGAGTTGCACTCGAATATACCATGAAATATCGTGAATTATATCCTAACCGTTAAAAATATCTCCCTTCAGTAGAATATATGGCACATACTATTTTTGGAATATGTGAAAGGGGTAATTTAATTTTTGACCCGACTGATTTAGCGTCGTATTTTTAAAACCAATGTTGGGAATTGTCACGTAAAGAACAGGAAACTCATTTAATTAGTAAAAATGATTGTACTTATATATATTAGTTATTGTATGTAAAAGTATAATTTAAAAATATAAAAAAACATACTACAAAACTGAAATGAAAATGTATTTGGCAAGCTTTTTTTCCTGGCAACTATTTGTTCGCCGTTAAAAAACTCATACACAGAACCGAGTCGTCTGAGCAATAAAAATATAATCTACGACCGCATAAAACAAAGCATATTCTCAAGATTATAAAGTAAAGTATGGTATCTGCATACGCTTTCATTTTAGGACGAGTTTCGTAAATTACGACTAAGGCAGGTTAATAATTCATCGCGAGATGTCGTACGTGTTCATGTAAATAAATAATGTACGTGTTTCCTACGTATGTTTAGTACTAAAATGTATAACAGAGAGTAACGAACAGAGAGTACACACCCTGCGGCGTAGTACTGCTAGCGAGACTTCACGGACGCTGCTCTCTACATAAAAGCTTTTACTATTAATCTTTACACGTATATGGAGAGCGAACGGACTGGGCGACGCTTTGTTCGTATCCATTTACGTAACTGCTTTCAGATTTATTTACACTGATAGTGAACGATTTTCAATTCGACGTTTGGAAACAATGTATCGAAGAAGTCACATCCAATATTATTTCAAAGATTAGAAAATATATTCCGATATACTTAAGCGATTTAAGCCACACTTGGAAAGTTACATTCTAGTCTTTTTAAAGGTCGATATTCTAATGCTCTGCAAGTTATAAGATCTAATTTCTAGCTATTAGAAATTGTTATTTTTAGAAAACATTGCGAGAATTCTCATTTGACAATAAATATGGGTAATAATTTTCCTTAACAATTCTCCCCTCTGATTCTAACTGTACAGATAACCTGAAACAGTCTAATTTAATTCGCTACGTGAATTAATCACCGGCATTAACGTTAAAAGCTTTTTGTATCACCCTTTTTGTTAGGCACTCGTAATGGTTCGTCGCGATTCTTAAACCCTGCGTTTCCAACACAAGCCGACCCTTGTTAACATTCAAACGACCCGACGACGATTGCCTCAAAAAACACAACGAATAAATAAGTAAAGAAACTTTTCCAATTCCATCCATTCTCCCCTAACACCTCAAGAAACCGGATAGGATATGGTCGGAGTTACACCGAAAATTCGATTTTGATGCGCCCCATCAAAAAGTCATTTCCTTGGAAAACAAAAGCCACGAAGGAAAGTTCTAATTCGATCCAATCTAAATCCAATTACACCACACCCCCGCAGCTCGGCGCTCGCACGGAGCAACCAGCTTCGATATACATCTATAAGTTGTTAAGAATGTTTGACTTCAGATTGTGCGTGTAAAATAATAAAGTAAAAATTGTTATATAAAAGAAAAATGTAATGTATCTTTAAGATGACGAATCCCTTTTGCCGAAGCCATTTTGGTTTTTATGTCACAAAGAACAACAATTAGCAATATTTATAAAGCTTTTCAAAGTTGTGTAGTATTTTTCCGTTGGCATATCTTTTAGAAACTGTATAGCTATTTTGTGACTTACCACTGTTTATTTTTTGTTTTTAATTTGCTTTTTATATTGTGATTATTTTCTTTTAAGTACTACTTAACGAAATTACTGGTTATTTGGTGAAAATCAACGATGAAATTTCCTTATCCTTTTCTTATATTTCGAAGCGGAGGGTAACGGCTATAAATTTTCAGATGAGCAAAGGCTCACCCAGATTAATTTAGGATTACGATCAGCGGGATGAAAACAATGAAAATATATTTTATAAGCCGACATCGTAGCTCAATCTAAAATCAATTAAAAATCGTTGATGGAACTTTTTT